CGCAGCCGCACGCGGCCTAGCCGCTCTCTGCCGGTTCGGCGCCAGTGACTCGGCGCTCACACGAGCCGGGTCCTGGTACGGCTTGAGCAATCCAACGTACAACGGATGGGTGCGCGTCTTCTTGGGAAGATTTAGCGTGTACGCTAGGCCCTAGCTGGCCACGGCCTTGAACGGTCCAATGAATCTAGGTCTTAGTTTTGTAGAATACGGCAGACACTGCGTGTGTAGGTAGGTTTTTTGCATTTAATAAAACAAGATCTCCGATCTTAAACCGTTCCATATTCTTTCTGCTTCGAGCATCCGCATGCTCCTTTTGCAGGTCTTGGCTCTCAGCCATAGCGTCGCGCACCTGGCGCATAACGCTAATTCTCACCGAGACAAGTCATCGACTTGCATGCGTACCGCAAGAGGGCTGGCATCAGCAAGCCGCTCGGCTATTCCCCGTCAAGCCTTGAGCCACTACGTGGCGGCGACAGCGGGACGCGAGGATTCACAAGGCCGTTCACATAGAACGGAGTGAAGCCTGTAGAGGCATGTACCGCATTATTCAATGCAAACTCAACGAGTGGGAGTATCGCGCTCCAGCGTTTTGACGCTTCAGCGCAATCGCTTCGGAGGATGTCCTCCACAACGCGGGTAACGCGTTCAGTTTGACCATCGGTCTGTGGATGATCCGCTGTTGACATCTCCAAACGCGTGCCAAGCAACTTAAACAAGGACGTCCAGAATTTCGCGGTGAACTGCGGGTCTCTATCCGAGACAATTGCCTCAGGCAAGCCATGTTGGCGAAATACTCTGTCTAGAAACAGCAAAGCTGTACCCTCACCATCGATGGTGTCCGGCACTGCCGCTAAGTGAGCCATCTTGCTCAACAGGTCTACAAAGACCACGATAACAGTGTTTCCCGCCTTGTCTTTCGGAAGGCCAAACACAAAGTCCATACTGATGGACTGCCAACATCCCGTGGGGTCCGGTAAACTCGCCAATGGCGCCTCCGCGTTCGGCGTGGACTTCGTCCGTTGACACGTCTCACACGTGCGTACATAGGTGCCCACCCGTTGGTACAACTTGTGCCACCAGTACATCGAGCT